AACTCCTTTAAACAAGGCCCTTCAGCATTGGCTTACCTTTCCAGGCTTATCTTGCTGGGTTCCATCTGTTCTCTCTTCTCTGAAATAAGAATATCTACAGCTGTTCCAGATAACCAACCTGGCATGCCTTTTCTCTGCTTGGCACGCCCTTCCCTTCCTTAGTAAACTAGTCAAGCCAGTTCTTATTTCTAGACTGTGCTTATTCAAGTTGTCCTTGACACTCTATGTCACCAACTGTTGGAACTCCCATGGCACTTAATAGAGACATACCAGCAGCAGCACATCTCTTACTGTGTTTTCCAGGTTGGCGTTCCTAGTTGTTTTCCCACTGAACAGAGTAATTGAGGCAGGGACTGTCTAACTTTGATACTTGTTTCTAACATAGGATATGGGACACCATGAGTGGAAAGTGAATGGTACTCATCAAAAACCAATTCAAATTCTTAGAAAGTTTATTTCTATCATGTAAAGTGTACAACATTTTAATCAATCTTTACAACATGTACACATCTGAATGAAATGTAATGGATCTGATTCCTGAAGCTAATAAAGCTGGTCCTACAGATAGAAAGAAGGAAACCAATGAGAGAATGTGTATATATTAACTTTGTTGATGGGGACTGGAAAGTCAGACTAACAGGTGTGTGTCTGTGAATGTGGTTGTGTGTCTGTATATATGGGACTAAGGTCAGCAATTTAGACAAACCAAAATAAATCTGCCCAAGAATATTTCCAGTTTGTCAATAAAATAGTATATGGACATTGGGAAAGAATAGTCATTTTCAAATGGGATACTGGAACTCTGTCCACACATACACAATGTAGGAAACTAAAGACATTTTCTAAATAATCCAGAAGCCTGAGAAAACATTTCCATGGCTGTGTCTCAGTGAACCATGATGAATAACACTGTGGATGACTGAAAAACTGACTCGGAATTCTTATTGGAGATCATCTCAAAGCTCACAAGAATGCAGTCAGAGGGCATCTCTTACACACGCCTACTAAGAACGTAACCAGTATCACCTTTGTAGACAGTAATCTCTTATCATACAATAAAAATTTTTTAACGTTGCAACAGCAATTACAAATACAGAAATAATAAGAAACTAGCCCCCCAAACTAGAATTCTACATAAAGATGTTTATCTCAGTATTGCTTACATTAGAAACTGGGAGCACGTATATTCAATAAAAGAGTAATTCATAAGGTAAAACATTTTATATAGTTAATACAATCAACAAAACGTTTATAAAAGGTTTTTTATAAAATAATATATGGCCTCTATATTTTCCCAAGTAAAATCTTCAAACTTCACACACACACACACACACACACACATATATATATGACCTAATTTACATAAGAATGAATAGAAAAAAGAACAGAATAAAAAATACCCAAGTTGTTATCTCTCAGTGGCACAACCATGGATAATTATTCATTTTTTATAGCATTGCCAATGTGCTCAATTTTTAATATAGGTGAGCATCATTTTTATACTAAGGATAAAACTAAGCAAATGATTATTAGCATTGGTTTAATGATCCATATGGGTTTATAAATTTCCATTTGTCTTTATTCTAATCAGACAGCAACCAAAGAGACAAAAATTTTATAAGGCCAATTTACCGCAGAGGATATACGGATGTTTAGAACAAGAGGCGGGGAGATGAATGTGTCTGGGCACTATCTCATGTCTTGTGCCCGACACAAACTACAAACCCAGAAGGTCAGTGAGTAGGCTGGTCAAGTCAGAAAGTGGTCGGCCTATGCTTTTCTGTTTGTCCAGGACGTTCTAATTTCATTTCAAATGATCCATTCCTCAGAATAACTGACACCCTCATCTTTAAATACACTACAATAAACACAAATAAGTTTCTGTGTCTCATTATTACACACTCAACTGTTCATCTTGGAGGAAGAAGACTGAGATTCTCCTTTGTGGCTTTAAATATCCAGATATTACAATGACAGCATGCTCATACTTCCTTAATTAAATATAATTTTCATGACACTAGGTAAGATGTTTTGTTTTTTCCAAAGCAGTACCTAGAGACTTTAGAAACCACTGACTTCACACTGTCTTTTTACAGTGAAGAGTTGTGTATGAGAGGGCAGCTTGACTGTGTGGGTCCCACATGTCTAGGAAGAGTACACTCTTGTCTAAAAGGCTTTCTCTTTTTCTGTTAGATCTGGAAATAGAATCAATTTTCCTATGTTGGCTTAGAACTGTGATATTTGCAAATAAGATTGTATTCTTTTTGTATGTAACTTTCAGTCTCTTTCTTTTGAAGATATACATGCCAAAGCAGGTATTGTTGACTTCGGAGTACCTTGTGAGCCATTCGTCTTTTTACCTGTATAGTTTGGCTTTTGAGTTTCATTTAAATGCTGATTTAACCACGGAGACTATGGGGTTTGTTTTTGGTTTGTTTATTTTAAATACATTGATTCAAACTTTATAAAGACTTGCTTGGAGAAGAAGTCCTTTGGACATATAATCGTGTGGGGGTGTGTACATGAGGTTTGTGTATCTATCTGTAACAGATAGTACTTCTGAAAAGAAATCGTTTTACCACATACATTAAGGTAAGCATTTTTCATTTCATGACATTTGAATAAACATGTCTCAATATGTAAAAAAGGACTTAGGAGAATATGATACCAAAATTTCATCCATATATTTACTTCATTCATAAAATTTTTATGCACAAAAATCATTCATCTTTAATCAGTGATACCAGACTCTGACCACAGACAAGCTTACCCGTCGATCTAAAGTGCAATACTTCACGAGCATATTTCCAACAGTTTTTCCTGTAGGACTCACCTTTACATTCTTGAAATATTTACGAAACAAATTCACAATTTCTAATGCAAGTCATTACTGCTCGCCATGATAAACTGTTCAGTTATATGACAACTCACTGCCATCGATTTAATCTCTTAGCAATAAAGATATGACAAACCTGAGAGTTAAAAAGCAAAGCAGGCTACTGTAAAGATTCTGTTTCAAAACACGTGGTTGATGACTATAATAAATTTGACTAAAATTAAAATATTACATAATAATCAAAATTTCAAATAGTTCCTAAATGCTATGCCATTGCTTTACTGCTCGATATATTCCTTTGGAAAATATGAAACCTCATTTGAAATATGACAGTCATATGTCATTATATATGTCCAAATGTTAGTTGATGTCTTTCTCCCCCTACTTCTAAAATGCCTTGCCTAATATTTATGCTAAAAAATCCAGCTGTACCCAAATTCAAACTTATGTTCTTGTGTATATTTTCCATTTGCTGACCTAAATAAAAATTGTTTTTAGCGCTTCACATACACATGTAGTTATATGAATATACAAACAAATGTAGTTATAAGGAGTTTCAAGTGACCAATGGAATTCATTATCGTCTATTTCGTACATAGTGTGTGTAGGCATATGCATGTAAGCACACACATACACACAGTCAGAAAAATTTTTCTATATTCATTGGCTATATAAAACAAAGCATTGGGAATATCAAAAATATTTGACACTCCAAGAAACATACGTAAAACACAATGACTTGGGTTACTATATAGAAATTAACTTAATAACTTAATTTAGTCATAATTATTATTACAATTAATAGGTACTAGGATACCCTCTAGTGGGGCAGGCAGGCCATACCTTCGGTAATAACTTTCAATTGCTTCCGAAGTATGATGTTTAGCATGTGTTCTTTTAATATGTTTCTGAAACAAAACAAAAGGAGCTGTATCACATAGCAGGTTCAAGAACAAAAAGGGTCTATTTCTTGATCCCAAGGTCTCACATATAGGACAAACTGGATTAATAGTTGGGCATTTGGGGTGGGGGCAGGTCTTTCCCCCCCATCTACCTTATGAACCTCTACATTTTAATCTCTATTGTGCAGCTGGTATGTCTTCAGACTGTACCACGAGGTAGACTATGTATGTAAAAGTCAGGAGGGTCACAGTAATTGAATCTAAATAAGTTTGCTTAGGGTTGCAGAGGGCAGAGAAAAACTTGTTCCCTCGTTCAACCTTTGTATTAATTTTCCCTCAATCCAATTCCACCTAAGTCCTCTGCACTCGAGTTTTACAATCCAATTGCCATTTTTAACCAGGAAGAACATTGCTTAAAAACAACTTATTTGAAAACTACAAAAAGTAATTCCATAGAGACTTGCCACTTGACTGACACCTGTCATCTCATGATAAATGACTCCATTTTCTGCCTCTCTTGCCTTCTGCCACTCCGGCAATGGTCATTTATCATCATCTCTGTCAGCAATGGAAAGCGGCCCTGACAGTGCAAGTCAGCAAACATTTAGCACATGGAACCACGCAACACGGGGAAATTATTATTGTCAGAATAATAATGGTTTAGCATAATTTATTACAGGTCCACCAAATAAGCAAAGGCTAGATGTTATTAGACAGATGGATGGGTAGGCTTGGCAGGCCTCCACTGAGACGCAGGCGGTGCTTGATGTGGAAAGGGGAACATCCTCCAACCCAATCAGAGTGCTGGCAGTTCAATTACAAAGAAATAAAGGGACATTCATCATTCAATTAGGCACCTGTCAACCCTCACAAAGGAGAAAACTTCTAACCTGGTACTCCTGGGAGAAGATGCTCAGCAGAGTGGCCTGCGATTGACTGGAACAAATAAAAGAAGGACAAAGTTAATTACTGGAGTGCACGGCAGAGAAACAAAAGAGGAAGGAGCTTCAAAGGTAGGCCTGCTGCCCTGTAATCTAACAGAACACGAAAACAAGTGTGGAAAAGTTGTTCCAGATGAACACCTCAAACAAAGGCTTCCTGCTGCTAGGTCAAGGGGAGAGAAAAAGGGAAAGGGAAGAATATGGGCAGTCTCAAAGCAAACTATCATATTATTTGGATTTCCCCTCCCTAAATTTAGAGTGGTGCTAAGCCATACACGGAGCACGGCTGTTCAAAGGGACCCAGAGAAATGAGCGTAACTGAATTGCAACCTTGATTTCACTGCTAGGTGATAGAGTTAAATCCCATTAAGAGCTGAGAACATGCAGTTCGCCATTGTCAACAGTGTAGAATGTATTTTGTTAGCAGCCAGGTAGCTATCGCAGATTCAGAGGGAAAAAGAATGGGTCTCCCCTAGAAGTAGCATGGAGATGAAGGGAACATTCCCAGGGAAGCTGATGTGCTTTGAAAAGAGAAGCTTTCACAGCAGGCGGCGGAGGTCCTTGGAGTCCATCATTCCCAAAGACTGCCATGAGCTTCATTCATCTAAGACCCCACTCAGTGTCAGACCTGGCAATGAAGCAACCTGCGAAGCATCCTGCCCAAGTGGGAATTTTCCTCTCTCAATTGCTAACATTTAGAAGTGGAGGATCCTTTCAAAAGCAATCAATACACCCCTGCTACTCTTTTTAATTGTCCTCTGCAGATAGATCTAACTTATCACATCCGGAAAACAATTCATTATGTCTGATATATTTTTTCTACCAGATGCTATTTGAACAAATTACAGTTCAAATCATTAGACTTTTATAGCACACCAAAGTACTGTGAATATTTTTTTTCTTTCTTGAATGAATGAAAACTCAAGTTCTTCACAGGTAACTTGGAGGTCTGGGAAATGGAAACAATGAAACATGAAAACACTTTTTTACTCCCTTTCAGACTGTTGCCATTGGTGGCTTTATACCCTAGATATAAGGGTTCTAATCATTTTCACCAGATTACAAAGAGCCAGATAAAGTAGATATTATAGACTGATGGATCGATAGATATGCCAATGCCTAGGCTAATTAGTTAACCCCTCCCCCCCAAAAGTGATATCTTACCAAAGGACAATTTCAAATTCTCAAAAATATAAAGAAATGACTAACGATAACTATAACTCAATTATACGCCAATTTAACCATTTCCCCTTTAAAATTAGAACCATCCATGAAGAAGCTTCCTACAATTCCTTGTCTGCCTCAGTTTCACAGACAAAATATACTTACCATGACAGATACTAGTGGCCAACTCAAGAAAAAAAGGTAAAATGAAGCTTAAATCTTTGATACTTAAATAAACCAATGTTAGGTATTTATATTGACTAGGTAGATCCCTCCTCATTGTATATCAAAATATATCTATGTTATTAACCACTGAATGGTAGACAAAAGGTCTAATTGCAAAAAGTCTGATGAAAATAAATGTTTCTTTCTTTTTTTAATAAATGTGTTTCTAATAGGCCAGTCAGTAGTCAACAACTACTGAAGACAATAAACTGTGGATGAGATCGAGTGCAGTTGGAGGCACTTTGGATAGGACGAGACAAAGAGACAGGTGGAGAAATAAGTCCAAAAACAGAGTCCAGAGTGGAGAGTACTGTGCAAACTGAGGACCAGGAAAATGTCTTGACATTGCTTAGCTACAACTCAGCTAAAACTGAGGATACAGCCTTGTGAAGCCCACCACTTTTTCAGGGGTCAACAAGAGGTTTCAATAACCAGCAGAGTTAGAGAGAAAATGCCAGTGTGTATGAGAGGAGGCGAGGTTGTGGCGGTGTGTGCTGTGTTGACATTGACTTCTGGTAACCTCCTGTGGACAAAATTGCTGCTGCTTCTGGTCATTTCATGATGGTCACAGATTAGATGGTGGTGATCCACAGACTTTTCCCTGACTGATTTTTGCAAGTAAATCACCATGCCTGTCTTCCTAGTCCATTTTAGTCTGTAAGTACCACTGAAATTGATTCAGCACCATAGCAACACTGAAGCCTCCACTGACAAGAGGGTGGAAGTTGTGCAGTGAATTGGCTAGGAATCAAAGCCAAATCTCCTGCATGGAAGGAGAGAATTTACCCATCGAATTATCAGTGCCGCTTCATCAAACAAACTCATTGCCATTGAGTCAATGCCAACTCATAGACAGGGTAGAATTGTCCCTGTGAGTTTCTGAGACCGTAACTCTTTGCTGGAGTAGAAAGCCTGTATTTTGGCCACGGGGTGGCTGCTGGATTCAACCTGCTGAGTTTGCAGTCAGCGGCCCAAGACGTAACCACTGCACCAACCCTGCAGTTGAAACCTGGCTAGAACTAAAAAGAGAAAACAACTTAGAGGAAGTAAGTCCTAGTTCCAAAATGCTTTGGGTTTCATTAGCTAGAAAAAATTATAGAGGACTAAATGACCTTTGAAAGGTAGTATCCCAGTCAACTCTCTGATCATTTTTAGGGCTTATAGTAGAAGAGTTTTCTGAATAAGACTCATACCATAAAGAGCAGGAAAGTAGTATAGTCATGAAATTGCCCCTAATTTCTTAATTGCTACTCTCTTCCAATGTGTTGCTGCTGAGAAGAGATCCCAAAGGGAAAGATGGGTGAGGAGTGGGAGGGCGGGGGCATCACTGTCATGTGCTCGCAATGCTACCGTGCTGAACAATTCACCACCTCTGACCTTCCCCCAGTCTATGCTCCTCCAGTATTGGGTTCATTTTTGCTAAAGCCAGCAAAAGTTCTGGTATCCATTCACCATTTACTATGTTCAGAAGCAATATGGTTGCTAGTTAAAGAGGGAGTTCAGTTCCTTGTAATCGGTTCCCTCTTTCCTACCCA